AGCAAGCATCGTTTGTGAATACGGGCGTAATACCTTTGACCAAACCGCAGTAGCAGCAGTAGGATATAAGCCTTAGGCATTAGGCCTTAGGCTTAGGTACAGATTCACTTCTGTTTGAGGTATGGCGCATAGGATTGAAACATGTGCTGTCCATTTAAGAGGTCGAGCTAAGAGAACTAGAACTTTATAAATACTTAGTCTAAATAAAACGAATGCCCTAAACCGACTGGAGGAAGTTAGGAAGAGATTATTGAGAAGTAATGTAATAAAACCTTCTCAACCTCATCAGCTACCCTTGGCCTGAGTGTAGAATTCGTGCATTTGGCAAATCAGAGAGTCGTGCTCCTAGATTGAAAACTAAAATATAACGTGACAATTAATAACACAGTAACTATCCAGCTAGAGAGAATTCGATCAGCCTTCAAAATCGATATTAAAAATATGAAAAAAAAAACTTTTTAAAAACTTAGCTTCATAATTTTTTTGGTAAAATACCAACAGGATGTTTTAATTAATAAGAGTTTTTATCCATCAGACCAGCTAATAGCCCAAAGGCATCCATGGTGTCATCAATGTTTATATGGAAGTATCACGGTCGCCATTTTGATCATTGTGTTCCAAACCTACGCAATGCTTTTAGGCATGTATGAGACACTCGTCCAATTAAAGTCAGTTACAATTCGACGAGTATTTGTAGTACGTGTAGAAGCCACTGTAGGCTTGTATGACATTTACAAATACCCATACTATTATGTTAAGCCTTAAAGACTACACAGTACACACCAAGCCCGCTGACAGCCCGCGGCGGCTAGCAGGTACAGCTTTATTTTAAACTAGCTTTTGCGCGGCTTCACCCGCGTGAAATTTAGTTTGTCACAGATCGTCATAAATTATAGCCTATATGTTATTCTGTGTTATAAACAATAATACTGTAAAGTTTCATCAAATTCCGTTCAGTAGTTTTTGCGTGAAAGAGTAACAAACATCCAGACATCCATACAAACTTTCGCATTTCTAATATTAGTAGGCTGAAGCGGACTAAAGTATGTGTCTCCTTAAACACTTGACATGGGCAGAATCACAGCGGCAATAAATCCACGGGATAGTCCAAAAAAAAATATTAGTAGGATGATCATGTCAATGACTTGTACTTTCTATGACTTGACAACGTCAAAAGTCAACGACTCATGTCGGCGGGTCGGGTTTAGTGTGAAGCCTGCATTACTTTACTCAGTGTTGAAGAAGTAGTGCGAAAAACTTGGGAGTTAAAAACAGAAAAGAAAGGAAAAAAAGGTTTTAGATGTTGACGGCTATTACTAGATCCACCATAACACCAATTTTTAAGGAAAAACAAAAACAAAATGATAAAAATGGCGCTTCACTTTCCCGCCAAAAAGTCTCATTCTTGTTGTAAATCTGTTACAATGAATCGCAAAACTTTCTTTCTTTTGCTAGATTAATTGCTAATTCTGCAACACTGACCGTATCTAAGTGCAGAATGTGGTAACATCAATCGTTGTCTTCAACCGATCTCGGATTGATGATCAGATTATAAATGCGGCTGTAAATTCTTAAGGCTTAAGTCTCACTCACTATTAAGTTCTTAGTAAGTACTTAATAAAAAAGATAATAGGTAGAGCATTAATTACTGATTGTGTGACAGCGATTTTTTTAAATTGTAATTTAAAAAGTAAAGTAAAAAAAAGTAAAAAGTATTTTATTTGCCAACAAAAAGTTTACAGTCTGTTTGTCTAGCGGCTGCTGCACTAAGCTGTGCTCACAACCCCTTTAAGTAGGTACCTAGTGAAAAAAAAATGTTGAAAAGCAGACTTTTTAAATAATATTTAGCGTAAAAAGTCAGATAGAAATAATTTACAGATCATCAGTTGTATTTAATCCTCGAATTACAATTTTTGTCGCACTGTCACATACCTTATTAAATTGGAGTATCTAGAGTGTCAATGTTTATTCTACAAGTAGTCTGCCCACAGCATTATAGAACTGTCTACAGCAATTCAAAATATACAGACATCAGCACATCAAGATTAGCACTGTAATACCTACTTTATGCAATTGTAATAAGCGCGATTTTGCAACAGAAAGTATATTGTTCTTTTGACTATAGATGTTTGTATGGGCAGATCCCATCATCAATCTCTGCTCGGCTGTTCATACAGTCTTGGCTCTTTCTGAGCAATGGCGGCATCGGTCAACGTCGCGCTGTTGTTCCAGTATACAGTGCATACTTACGATAGAAATGACAATCGTTTAGGTAGAATCGATCAAAGATTTGTATCATGTTAGCGGTATACCGAATAAAACGATCAAACGAATAACTTGGGTTTTTTTTTGGTAAAAGCGACTTTTTAATTTAATTATCATGATTGTGTCTATCAGAAATTACTAAGGCTGGGTTGCACCATCTTACTTTAACTTTGACAAACGTCAAAAACCGGTCAAACTCCATACATAAAACACCGGTTATCTTTAAAGTTACAGTCAAATTTTAGGCTGGGTTGCACCATTTTACGTTAACTTTAACAAACGTTAAAAATCTGTCAAACTCATACGAAAATTACGGTCAAAGTTAGGTGGTGCAACTCAGCCTAAGTGGTGCAACTCGGCCTAAGATTATACACTTGTTGAAATAAAGTGATCTTCCTGAAATTAGTCAATCAATATTAACAATACAGTAAATGCTTAATTCGTATATCTTCAAAAACCATCTAAATCCAATCCAGAATATTTTGTTTTTTTCTAATATTTTTGCAAATGAAGTATCAATAAAAAAGATCAACTGCAATTATTTATGAATGCAACTAAGTAATGTATCATCGGCGGCTGTATCTATTCCGATGCCGTTCGCCGTAATGAGAAAGACGATTGTGTGCTTCACAATGGCTGGCAGCGAGAAAACTTTGACTCGAGGCGACTTCGAAGAAAACACACGATGCAAGAGAGTGCACTTTTAGATCATCTGCAAGTTTAATTTCTTGGACAATGTTTCCTTAAATTTACGAGTATGAAATGGTAGAAATATTATGTCTAAAGTAGCCAAAGAAAAGTATTTTCATCGGCCTAAACAAATAAATTTATTTTAATTAATTGGAGCAAACATCACTTCCTGAGCTGGACAAGCGGGAAAAATTTCAGTTCGCATCTTTTTAACATGCGTTCGATCCTAAAAGCATTTTTAAATCCATCTGACACACAAATCTTTCTTGTAAGGTATTGAATATCAATCAAAATCTTATTTCACTTTCACTTGTCTGAATATTTAAATTTCAGACATAACTACTGCCTTGTCTTTGAGAAAAAGTATACTCGTATTACAAAACGACAAATGCATAACAGATAGATAACTACACGTGTAAACTTTTTAAATTAACAAAAAACTTACAAACAGGTTTTTTGCTGCTCAAAATAATAATCACGTTATTTAGTATGCGCGTGCTAATGTCAAAACAAAACCTCGTGTTAGTGTTTATTAATCAATGTTTCGTTCATTCAATTAACGTTCCTAATGTACTACGTGACTCATATACATAGTCTTCCGGATTCGTAAAAAACGTAACACATACAAACGGAATGAATAAACAAACTGTAGTTAATTTTGATCAGAGGAAATATATCCAATTTTTGCTTTTAATTGCCAATTAATTCATAAACTATCTGCTTCTATTATAAGTCGTTGACTGAGTGCTGAATTCTATTTTAAAAACCTTTTTTAGCATTCGGTTTATGTTCCATAATATTTGATGTCAGCCTATCTCACACACCAATTACCTTTTTAAAAAAATAAAACCGACTTCAAATGCGTGAACACAAAAAAAACTAAAAATTAAAAATATTGCGTATAAAAAAGTTCATCCCCAATTTTCCACCCTTAGGGGTGAAATATTTTCTTCAAATTCGCATGAAACCACCCTTTTGATAATACCTATTCAACAAAAAAATAATCGTTCAAATTGATTTATAATCGGCGGAGATATTGCGTATAAAAAAGTTCATCCCCAATTTTCCACCCTTGGGGGTTGTTTTTTCTATTATTAAATTTAAATGGGACCACCCTTGAGGTATTACCTATACGCCGAAAAAAGATTTGTTCAAATCGGTTCATAATTGGCGGAGTTATCGCGTAACAAACATAGAAAAAAAAAAAACATACGGGTCGAATTGAGAACCTCCTCCTTTTTTGAAGTCGGTTGAAAATAAAAAATACACGTTACAGAAGGAAATGGCGAAAGTACGTGATTTATAAAAACATTATTGTCCCTTTTCACTTAAGTCCGCACATTTAAAGTGCGAATAGAGCATACAATCCACTGCCCTGCGCGGTCGCTCGGAAGATTCTACTCGGCGCGGGAGCAATCGGAGAGAAAATGTGTGTGCTAAGTCGCGACCGGAGGTCAATGGTTTTTCATTTACTGAGGACACAACTTTCTATATTCTACAGACATTATGCGGCCTTACAGTATCCATGGGTCTTGAGATTGCTTGATACAAATATTTAGAATAGCTGTGCCTGCGACTTCGCACGCGCAGAAATTGTTTGAATAATTTGACAAAAAATAATTTTCGTAGTATCTTGAGATTAGCGCGTTCAACCGAACAAACAAACTCTTCAGTTTTATAGTTAAGTAGTTAAGTATATGTAGATTCAAGAGCCACGTTAACTTAAGCATCAACATTATATTGAAGACTGTCTTTAAGGTTTTTGCTTGTTAAGGTCACCTTAACATTTTAGTCAGCGAGTCCAATGAACCATACGCAAAATTATGTGGTCTCTGATCTCAACAGAGAGATTGATTGTAATGTCACTAACAATGTAGATTGAAAAGAGCATGATAAATTGCGACACTGACAATGATGAGTTCTAAGTATCGCTATAGTCAATGACTATAGAGATGAATAGAGATGACTATTAGTCATTTCTATTTTCAACGCGATATTATTAAAATGTACACATTATATTAATATACTTATTGTTTTCATTTCAGATGGCGACGGTAATGCAGAAAATTATCTTCGCTGTCCTAGTCCTCCAGTGGGCCTCGGCGGCACCGAGTGACGTCAAACTAGAAGACATTGCTGAGATCAGACAAGTGGAAGACAAAGCTGACGTCGCCCCAGCCACTTTACTGGAAGAAAACTCCGACGATGAGGCATCGCAGGGCCAACGACGAAAGAGGTGGTACAACTATTACGGGTTTCCTCCATTCAATCCGATCGGGTTTAGCAGAGACGATTCATTAGGCCCCAGCGTTTTCGGAGCACAAGACCCATTAATAAACATACATAGACGGCTTCAAGAAATCAACAACATTGCCAGGCAACCTCCGATCCCTCAGTTCCCCCCGCCACTGCCACAATTCCCAGCATTTGTCCCCATCATTTACATTCCACAAGTGGGTTGTGGTTGCACACCAGATAACACACCACAGAACCCTTCCACTGACAGGCCCACACCGCCTCAGGGCAACCAGAACACAACTGATAATCCTGGCGTTTCTAACAGGTGGCCCGAAATGGATGATGAGCGGCAGAACTGGGGGATCGTAATGAACGGAACAGAGCCTGTTGAGGAGCCGGTAGAAGATGTTGGTGATGGTAGCAGACCGATTTCGTTTGATCCTATCACACCTATTAGACCCATGAATCGACCTGCACCGCCGGTGGAACATGGCAGCAGTCAAGCAGGAGACGCCAATGGTGGGACGACTACAACTACTACTGCAAGACCAGCGGCGGCGCCCGGTGGATTTGCTGGTAGTTCCGGTCTTGCCCCCCCTTCACCTTGTGATGGCGCCATATTAAGCTGTTGTCACCAAGCGCAAGTGACATACGACTGTTTCGCACTTCAAGGTTGTCCCGACCCGTCCTCCTACGGGAACCCTTGCGACCCTGGAGTAATTTTCAGGGTCATTGAGAGGTTTCAAAGGTTTTATGGTCAGCGAAATGGATGAATTGTAAATGAGTAGTTTTTTCGAAGTTCATCTGTGATTTTTTTAAACAGTGTTTATTTTAAAATAGTATTACGGATCAAAATATCCTGCCAGAGAAAAAAATCACCATTACGAAAAGTTTGTACAAAAAATTTCAGCTAATCAAAATACTTACCTGTAATACCTACATATGAATAGGTAAGATAAAGTTTTAGAAAAGTGATCTTTTGAAATATGCAGTAACTTGATGTTTTTTTTGCCTGGCATTATGATAATTCGCTCTTCTGAATTGAAATTATTTCACTAACAATCAATTTGAATTATTTATGAGAACAAAAAAAATGATAAAAATGCTATTTTTATGTTTCGGCTATCTCTACCACGAATCGAATATTATTTCAGTAAAATTAAAATGGTATGTATTTCAATAAAATATGGAATTAATAGAAGAATCAGTTTTCATAGCTAAAATGATAAGTGCAGTTCCTACAATGTAGTTCGTAAGGAATACTATGTTTCTTCAACTGAATCGTACAAATTTTGCTAGAATTCTCTTTAAAATTATCAATGGTGGACTTGTAGTGATCTTTACTATTAAGTATTAGCAAGAAACATGCAGATAATTTTAGGTATTACTTTTTCTAAACCAGAAAAAGCCTCGATAGCTTTTGGATTTTTGAAATTAAAAACAAAAGTTATTTAAATGTAAAGAGCTTTTTTTATTTTGAGAAACCATGCTAAGTTAGCCTAGATTATAATTTTCTACAGATATGTTCCTAGTAATGTGTACTAGTTTGTGTGATTCATCAATCCATTTAATTAAACACTCCATACGAAGCCTGTGTTGTCGTAATTACTTTATATTTAAATCAATAAAATTGTGCTACTGCTTATGCCATATTTTGTACAAATAAATTATTATATTATTTATCATGCTTACGCCGATTTATGAATAATTTAGTCCAATCCGAATACTTTTGTTTAAAAGCTAATTGGAAATTTTTTGTATGTGAAATTATTAACACAGTCATCAACATAATATTTTATTAAATGTACGAAACGATTGGTCATTATACTATTTTAGGTTATTAATAACCGTCATTGCAGAATATACATTATCATAGGCATAATAAATTATGTTCTATGATACATGTATTATTAATATTATTAATGTAAGATAATATTTTTTATTCAATATTTATTCATAAATTGAATACTGTATTGTGAATTTTATTCAATTTTATTTGACTTTGACAACAGCTCTACATTAAGGCTGGGTTGCACCATACTTTAACTTTGACAAACGTCAAAAATCTGTCAAACTCCATACAAAAAGCATCGGTTATCGTTATAGTTACCGTTAAAGTTAGGTGGTGCAACTCAGCCTAAGATATGATTTTTCAAGAATGGAATTTTATAAACATGAAATGACAGACCAAAATTTTAATCTGAAGTTATTTGAAGATAATGTTCTCGCTGATGATTTTTAGCTTTGAAATATTTAAGTACATACAAGTAAATGAGTCAGACTCATGCCAGATAGGTGTTAATCCAAGTTATTCTACGGTGGCAGTAGAAAAAATAGTTTGTGATGTCACTACACAGATCCGGATACAGAAATCTTGATTTTATGCAATTTAATAAACATTTATCGCTTTAATAACCCATAGATATGCGTACCTACTTCACACCTGAGACAAAATATATAAATATAAATGAAGAATTAATAGGTAGATGTACTTCTCATTCAAGGATTCTCTTCTTACCTAGTAGCTTTTATGTTATGTGAATAAGGTACATTTTGTATGATCATTGCGTACTTACTCATAGCTATACTATAAGGTTAATGTGCAGTAAATACGATGGTATATAACTGGTTGCCAGCATTATTTTATTCTCTGACCTTTGCCTACACAAAAAAATAATATTTAATCCTGGCATAAGAATAGTGATGGACGATTCGTTCAGAATATCAGTAGGTAAAATATTATTTATGTATCCTTGTAAATCTAAAGTAATTTGTAATCTAGCAATTTTATCTCTTAATAATAATAATTTATTACTGCTGTATAATATGTTTAGTCGCTTACGTATGTGATGTGTGGTCAAAACTTGATTTACAAATATTTTGGAAAAACCGAATGTGTATTTTGATGTCATTGCTAATGTCGCAGTTCGTAGTAGGTATATTGCATTTGCTTCAAAGAAATAAACAAACATTATTTTGCCATTTAATGGTAATGCAATAGTACCTACAACGCAATAGTAAAAGACCAAATAATTGACTTTTTATGATTTGTCAAAATACAAATTTAATGCACTTAAAAGAACACTATCCTAATACAACCTTTACCCTTACATTTTATCACTGGCAATCTCAGGTGCGTACAGAACAAATTATTTTTAATTTAAAGCATAGGTTAAGTAAGGATTTTGATGGAGCTTCAATAAATTAGACCAATCATATTATTACAAGATTCTATGAATGAGATTGGAGGGTTACGATACATACAGAGATACAGACAACAGTTCATCCAGCTAAACACTAATGGCATCTAATATTGTAGCAATACGTATTATTTTACAACAAAAATATGCAGTCTGTTGTGCGGTCGACTGTATTTTCTTATGCAGACAATCGCGCCATCTAGCGTAGGTTACCGACGCTGATTACGTAGCCGACGTAGCGTTCTAGCAGCCGTTTGCCCCACAGTTATCGGTTTTGCGACTAGGGTTGCCAGGTCCAAAATCACAAAAGCCGGACTTTGTGCTTCAATTAGTGTCAGCTCATGAGTGAGTCCTATCATCATCGGTTGCTACCGAACATCCTGATGCGTGCGCTTCATATGATTCTGAGGCTCGACTTTCGCGAGTGCGGCGCGCGCTTTCCCTGGCGCAGCAACCAAATAAAAAGCCTAACAAAAGCCGGACAGGCCGGACAAGGCAATATTTGGCCGGACAAGTCCCTAAAAAGCCAAACATGTCCGGCTAAAGCCGGACGCCTGGCAACCCTATTTGCGACAGCCATTGTTGCCGTAAACGTCGCCTTTCCCACAATATAACCTTATAAATGCATGTGAACACTCGTGAATAGTTATTATGGTTGAAGCCGGTCCAACGTTATTGCGAGGGCAAATTTTCCGATATAGTGTATTGGTTTTTCCGCAAACTGTTATTATGATGTTTTTCACCTCTTTCTTCCCTCTGTGGGCTTACACCAATCGGCTGTAAGGTCTCAGAGTGCTGGTCACTGATTGCTCATAATAGTATTTGACTACCGCTTGACCTGGATGGAGCACTTACCACTACTGTACCACAGTAACATGCGGAAGATAGTTTGACTCCCACTAGAGACAATGTGTGATAAGCACAAATTATTTATTACTCACTGAATTAATTATGTAATTTATTGTATAGAAGTTCCAACATGAAGATGTTTAATTCTCAATGTCGGCATAGCTTTAAGAAAAGTACAATCGTTATTGAAGTGTCACGTAGAGCGACATTGAAACTACAAAGTGTGACACGTGCGCGACCCAAATAGTTGACAAAAACAATTTAGCACTGGTAATTAGTACTAAGTAGGAAAACAATTTAAAATTACTATTACCAATCTTGATATTAACTATCATGTCCACTAACTAACGTCACAAAAAATATATTACTTAAAACTTTTCGGTGACTCTACATTTGCGTCAAACAATCAAAGTTTAAAATCTCAAATTCACTGGGAAACCCCACAAAAAAAAAAAAATATAGACCAGTACGAGCACTAAAACATTTAAATTAAGAATAACTTTTCCCGGTTTCGTAAACCGCCTTCGCCGTACGTAAATATTGTGTTTATATCCAGTTGACTGCAGACCGTGTGAGAAACAAGTGACTGTCGGACGTCTTGGCCAGAAAGGACATTTTGCGTGTCGAGTGCAAAGAAACAAGTGAAGATCATAACAGCAAGCCGCATTATCGTCAAAATTAAACAAGTGAGTAGCTATTTTTTTCCAAATAACAAAAGAGAAGCGGTAGTTTTGAGGGATTCTGGTGTTAATGAATAAAATCACTGTGAATGGTACCGGAGTTCAATGTCACAGCTTCCGCATGAAATTGTTGTAGATTGTGTTTATGTTAAATAGATGTTATCAAACTGCACTTTTGTAATATGTTTCGGTATTGTTGTTACATTAACAGATTACAACATGATTTTTTATAATAGGTTATACAAACAGGCACGCTTAAGCTTAAGCTCCAATGAAAAGTAATATGATAAAATGATAAGTTCTTAGATCTTGTATTAAGGTTAGTTCTTATGCTGAAATATTTAGGTGTCATTGCAAATGTGCCTTGGTCCTATTTCACAGAAACAAACCCATCTACACCTTTTTTTTAATTTATAGTATACTTATGCCCTTTTTCACCATCAATCCCTAATTTTCAAATGACCTCTATGGTAACACATAACATGAATTTTGTTTTCATAGGGGTGGGTTAGTAGTTGTCAGTTTTGATTCATAAATTAATGTCAAAAAATCTTGGTGTTAAAAATAATAAAAGTTAATAAAAGATACTAAAAAGATACATGTTTAGTTTTAGTAGCTAATAGTGAATAATTAGTAATTTCTGCATTACTTGTCTCAATATTGACACACGTGTCAATCACAAGTGTCAATGATGACCTTGACATAATTTTTTAATCGTGTACGATCATCAAAGGCTGTCGTCCTGCGGGGAAAACCAACTGCGACGACATTACGCGCTTATCGTCTTTTTACGTCATGCGCACGCGCACCGAACGGGTTGTGATGAGATTTTAATAACGTATCGTTTAACTGAACTATCTGGTTCTTAAGAATCAGTTTTAGTTCTGACATTCAAGTTGATAGAAATACATAAATCTCTTATAAAACTTATAATAATATAGCTCGAGGCAACAAAATATGAACTGGACCACAAACGCCCCAAACAATTTTAATTCTATTAAAAATAATATAGCATTTATTAATAGTTTATTATAATAGGCACTTTATATTATTCATCAAAATTTTATAGATTGGGTTTTTTTCATTAGGATTAGGATGTTAGGCTTGCTTGAATCAACCCGTTTGATCAAAGAGAATTTGACTCCGTACTTCGAATGGAATGTTCATCCATCAGGTATCGGTTATGAACTGACACAGACACCAGAGTTAAGGCCTGAGCTGTTAAAATAAGCTTTAATGAATTCATTAATAAGTAGACGTGTCTCGTAAAATAAGGACCTGTCACCATTAATTAAATACTCAGCTGAAATTGAAGAAGTATCTTCGTTTCAATGAGATGGATGACATCATTCACAATTACTTTCAGGGGCACTAGAAACTGCTTTAACGATACTAAATTTCTACATTATTTGTCTATTGTATTTTATGAATACGAGCTTTATTACAAGAGAAATAATTTAAAATTAAGGCAATTTTACAATTCCTTAGCTTTTATAATTTTAATAAACATAGTTGTTTTTGCAAAATATTCCAATAAGCAGTGCGAATGGCATCTAGTGTTACCTTATACGGGAAGCGCATTGCATATGCATTTCGAAGTAGGTAAATACTATAATTTTTGTAGCAAAATCGCTCCTATTCGGACTACATAAGATTCACAGTCTTAGGCTTTATATACTCTCATCCGCTATTACAATGTCGTCGACATAGAAGTCGGCAATACAAGAAGAGAATAATAATTATAAGTAATAAGGCATATTAACTTGCCGTTTTATTTAACGTCATTTAACTCCGAGAGTGTGGGTTGTAATAACTAAAGTCACAACACTGTGTCAGATCGTTGCCCCGCCAAAGAAATAATTGTGATTATTTTTCCACCTTCTGAAATTAGAACTCCAAAAATTCCAAATTACTGGACCGCAAAGTTCGTAATTATCACAAAAAACGACGGTGATCTTAAATCTGACTACCATATCATAAAAACGATGTCTAAACCACGTCTAAACACATAATTTGTTTATTTCCAGACACAATGCAGAGGCACACAGCAATCATTTTGGTATTAACGCTGATTGCCCAAGCGTTAGGCGCTCCTCAGTCTAAGAAGAAAATCGACGCACCCAGTACGATCCGAAGTCCTGCAAACCTCTCCTTAAAAGAGCTAGAATACATTGTTGGAGTGAGAAGAGGAGAGCCTGTGCCACCTCCAAAGACGCTAACACCATGTGCAAGAGCAATTTTGGGATGCTGTCAAAAGTCAGTCATGAACGAAAGCTGTTCTGAAGCTTTGAACTGTGGAGCCTACTTCTTCGATGCCAACCCGTGTAGTGAAAAATATGTATTAGATGCTCTAAACGCAGCCAGAACTTTTTATGACCAGTTCAATTTGAATAATGTTTAAGCATAATTTAGGAATATCGAATTAAATTATTAACTTTTCACTTAACAAAAACTTCGGATAGCTTGACTATGTGACTACTGACTATGTACCGGACAAACACATTTCAATTTCAATAGATGGAAGTTACATTATTTGTTAGAGATAAACTTTTTTTGTTGGTAGATGAACTATGATACTTGAGAGTTACTTAAAAGTATTAAGAAAAACCTAGATTGTTGATCTCAACTTTTTATGGTATTCAACATAATTTAAGTGCTTAAATAATGAGACTCTTAACATTAAGATGACTGAAGCAATGTGATCAACTAATGTGAAATAACACGATGTCTTTAGAGAAATGTGTTTCTTTGTCTTAAGTAGTTTTGAAAAAATGTTTCTCATGTGCCTGACCTAAAATACCTAGAATAACCTTCTTTTAAGTTAATTTGCCGCTAATTCTAACTGGGTAAGTAGTTTTGTTTTTCATTGAGACTTACCGTCACCATTACTGTACGTATGTTTATTGCAAAATAGTGCCTAATTACATATACAAGTTATAACAGTCTTTAACTAAGGCTGAGTTGCATCATCTAAGTTTAACGGTAACTATGACGATAACCGGTGCTTTTTGTAAGGAGTTTGACAGATTTTTGACGTCTGTCAAAGTTAAATTATGATGGTGCAACCCAGCCTGTGTTGTCTGTAAGACAAAGTGTTGCCAACACAAAGAAACAAACTTCAAGAGATTATTCACGCCTCATGTAACCGACTTTAGCAAAGTTGAAGTTTTCCTTTACAATTATTTACACTAGATTAGACGTCTGGTATTACTAACTACATAATTATAAAAGTTAATTTTTTTCATGTAAGTTTACTTACCATACCTTTTAACAGCACAGTTCTTGGTTCTAATCCTAAAACAGCAACATAGTAGTTTTATTAATAGTACTTTACTTCAATTCAGAGAAAATTTGATATAATAATGTAGGTATGTAGGAGGAGCTAGTAGTTCAACTTANGTCATCTCTTCTCTAAATATAATGAGACCGCTCGGACACCGAGCCCACAGCGTGGTAGGGGTGGGGTTGCCCGCTCTTTTGTTTTTTTACTACTACTACGCTGAATATTGTGTGCGGATTGGCTTGTCGTACAGGGGTACTACACGGTAAAATAAATCTCTTCGGCGAAAACAGGATAATTTAGATCGAACTTCACTTGGTAAGTTCGTTTGATCATCTAATAATGGTTGATTTGAAAAAATACCTACCTCGATGATACATTTGTGCATTGCAGAATAAATAATGTAAATAGATATCTAGATTTGATTTTTTCGGTTCAATGAACTATACTTTATGAACAAACATGGTTCAATGGAGAACCCAATTTTATCAGCGCTAGCAGACTGTAAAGTGCGCGGTAAGGGACATTGTTTTACGATTTGATAAAATTGACAATTCCGAATAATAAAATAACATAACATGAATTTATATCTGTTTTTTTGGCACAAGCAGCGAAAAACAAAAATTTTAGTTGAAACAGCCTTGTGTCAATTAAAAATATTTTAAAAAACGCAATATTTCACGCTCAAAATCGGCATAGCGTGAGAAATAATGTACCTACTCAAACAGGTTCCTTCAAAAATAAAACGCTCAATTATGAATTATAATGAAATAGTTTCCTGTTGTGTTGATTTAAAATATTGAAATACTCGTTATATCAATCACAGGCTTGATGAATCTGTAAAAGACACGGCGAAGGGCGAAGTTAGAGGTAAAAGGCCTTTACATAAGGTAGGTTGTCGTTTACACTCAGCATAAATCCTTCCAGCACAATAAATTTGCGGTCGCAAGTAAATACCAACAAAATGGCAGCAGTGCAACTGGGTTTGGTTTGAGTTAAAGGAATAAATTCCGCTGGCAGTGCGCCAGTCCGCTCGAGGCAACAAGTGAAACATTATACACCACTATCAATAAAATACAAAATGTCCCCTGTGAATTTTATTTTAAGAACTTCATAAAAGTGTAAGGAGCTTTTAGAACAACTGCGTCGGGAGTTCTGCAACAAAAGTAATAAATAAGCAACGGTATCAACGGTGAGAATAAAATTATCTCGGCTCCATCGTAAAGGGATATTCTGAACCAGTGACGTAGCTATCGGATAGACGGTGGTATGCACCGGGGCCCCAAGAAGAGGGCCCTTGGACCGTGACCAGCAAACCTCTTACTAGACTTTATTGAATTATCTAAAAATTCTCCCACCTGCGGAAATAAAACAGGTTCTAACATAACTTGAATCATGGCAACTCATTTGAAGGAATAGATCAATCAACAAGATCATTTCTACAAAGTATAAAAAGTTATTATAATAAAGATTCGTCTTCTGTTTTAATTTCTTCCTTCGGAAGTCGATCCTTAGTTTCGCACTCCTCCTATGTCCAATGATATTTTAACTTTCCCCTGGACAAATTAACCTTCATTGCTTGGGTTTTTAATGGCGTTCAAGCTGTAGATTCTGGCTACAGAGTTGCACCAGTTAGAACGAGATGTGGGAATGGTCCCGTTCTGTTTTAATTTAAGTAGATTTTGACCAGAGCCAGTTTTTTTGCACCAGGGCCCTTTGTCCTAGCTACGGCTCTGTCACAAACGATCGTTTTATGGGTCCAAGTTCCCAAAGGAACGGTTACCAAGCTTTATGGCCCCAGCTCGCAGCCTTGAAGTGCTCCAGTTGTTCATCACAACACAATTATTAGAAAATGTTGACGCCAAAAGGCTATTTTTGGAGATGGTATTTACTGTTCTTTTCTTTCGACTGAATGATGGAAAGGGCATGTCAGGATGTTAAATTACACTCAAAGTGAATAAATTTCGACACCTCTTTGGAGCAGTGGTTTGAGATTTAAACTGTTTTTATCAGTAGCTCTTGGATTCGTTTTCCAGGTAGGACAAACAAATTGTAAAATCATGCCCTAGTTGAATGAACTACGATGTTCATAAAGTGATACCTAGTATGTAACTTTACTTAAAACTGGGGATAATAAACTAAGCTGTTATTTTACCCCATTTTGAATATTTTATTTTCATAACATTGAGGCTGAAGTAGTTTTCAATTGCTTGAAAATCTTCGTAATTTATTCTAGGAAAGAATAATGTAATTCAATTGGGTGTCATAAAACAGGCTCACAAACTCACAATACGTGCGCGCGTTTTATTTTTTCGTAAAAATATTATCACGCCCAATTTCTTATCAGTGCTCCTCAAATAGGCCATAAAGGCAGCAGCAGGCCGCACCTGAGGCCATTTTACTACAGTATAAAATATGCTCTGCCTATTCAGACCAGACACTCGCTAGAGACCCTCCCTCAACGATGGAAGGACCTACTAAAAGTAAGACGCACTTTGTGACTGGTTTGGTTGCATTTTCTTGAAAAATGTACGCGACAATACAACACATAGTACGAGTATCTGGGTAGGTTTTACAACGCAATATGTGAGATTAGCACTAGTGGGGTTGATTTTCAAATGGACCAGGCAAGTGTTACATTTTGGTAGTTTGTGGTTTACCTACTATACATGAGTCGCCTCAATTTTTGATCAAGGATGATGGAGCACTGTATAAATCGATCCTTCTATTAATTTAGTTGAGAGTTAATGTCAGTAAGGAAATGTTGATGTACCGTTGCTAAACTGATAAGTTATTATACTTAAGTTGTCTATGTTTGTTTACCGCCCATAATATTTAATATTTTATTGGACGAAATAAAAGCGAGTCTTTAGGCTTATGAGAAAAATATTGGCAAATCGCTCACTGAATTATTACATACTTCATATCGTAAGTATCCACTTTTTTAATAGAGACGATACATAGCTTAGAATATTAATATTCCTATACCTTATTGTTTCCCAAATATTGGTAGAAAAGAAAATCAATGAAATAACTGACAATTACGTTTACAACTAAGGCCCAGTTTTTTTATTCATAGTTAAAATAACAAATTGTTAAATTTTGTTACTAATGGTTAAATATTAGCAAAATGTTAACTAATAGTTAAAAAATGTACTATAGTCTATCCAATATAGCTTGATTAGAATGACAGCTGCCATCAAAAGTAACGACATAACTTTGTAGTAGCGATCAATGAGAGCTAAATATTGGCGGACAAGAAATAATTCACGTCTGACCTACAAACAATATTTTCGACGACAGTGCTTCCAATAAAAATGTTAATTTCGTGTAAATGTAGCGTTAAATTACACCAATAAGTAGTAATTCGAAATTATAAAAATCAAGCTAGAGTATTAACGACGTCTCTACAAGGTTATCTCGAGTTACAAAAATGTTAGTGTTGGGACATATCGACAAATGTCATATTAACCCTTTTCTTGGCATCGTAACACGGGTGATACATCATAATTTAAAAAATCCTGAGGACAGCAAAAGCATTAGAAATAATTTATTTCATACATAACACGTTCCTGATATATCATAGAATGAGATAAAAAAAACTATTCACACAAAAATACATTTGGCTGTCAGTTATTGTCAAAATTGGATAACCTAAGCATGTTGGCTTCAAACGCGTGGTAAGTTTATTTGTTTATTGGTGATATCACAAAATATTTGTGTTATTTTCTGTATGTAATTTACAGAAGAAGGATTGCTGTGAGTTTTTCGTTTGGTTTGGATGGTGTGTATTGCTACTTGCCGATTTTATAACCGTCCATGTGCCTGTGTATCATATATGTTACATTGCCAAGTGCTTCGTGATGTATTTTTAAATCATAATTTAAGAAAAAAATGCCTATTTTTAAAAGATATTAGTGTTACATTAGTAGGAAATACAGTAATTAGAGTGGACAAGCTTGTGGAGTGCAATTAGTTCATAAAAATCTATTAAACTCCATCCACCCTACCTTCTGATGCCGTCAAGTATGACAATGTTGGCCTATTTTCGCTTCTTGTGGAAAATATAAAACCAGAAAAATAGGCAGATTAAATATAAAATGCACAAAATATAATCAACTTTTATGTGTGATAAAAAGTTATTCGATTTTATGACTTTTATCATTATTAGTAGGTATTAAAAGCAAGAGTCTGAGTAATTATTATTTGCTATAATTGGATTTGGCATATTCTTTTCACTCTGAGTTTCTGTTTTGATAAGGAAGTTTAAAAATTACCTTTTTAAATTATTTATGTATGTTTTTGTTCATTCAAAATATTTTTTTTAATATTTTAGCTTTTTAATTTTCTATACCCTAATCTTGGCAGTGTATCATATATGATACACCTGGTTTCTGAAAAACTGAAAACAATATATTTTTTTTAACATTTTTATTGGCCTATTAAGATCATACTTAACTCGTAAATATCAAAAAATTTAAAATCGTAGTGAATTTTTGGTCATGCCAAGATAAGGGTTAAATTAAAACTATTTTTTAACATATTTAACAAAAAGAATTTCTAACTAATTTTTTAACATATTTAAGTCAAGTTGTACGTTTTTCTAAATGTTCACTATTAAAAACCAAAAAACATTTCATTCTTAAATAATCAAACATCGGAAATCAATCACCGGTAATTTTTTGGGTATTCATAGCACCGTTGCTCTAGAAGAGATGCCCACCGCCCTCTAGCGAGAGGAAAAAACCACTGAAGAACACTGATGATAATGACTACGACTTAGGTTGTACACCCTTGACATGAATTTTAAATTTTACTGTCTTTAAATTTAAATCATAATTTTCATTTTTATGAATAAAGATATGAAGAAAAATTGGGTGCATTTTTTTATATCATTTTTTCGAAAACTTATCGATACATCTATGTGAAC